TGGAAGTTGGCTGAGTTCTTTGTAATCTGGAAAGTTCTACATTAATGTGTATGTTGCTTTATTCTATAAACTAGCTGTGTGCTGTTTGCTAGCATGGGATGTATAAGTACCTGCCTCAAAGTTTCACCTAGTGCAGAAGTCTTCATACTTTAGTGTACTTAGGAATTACTTAGATTCCTGTCACAAATAGTGACATACTTATACCCACCACCCTCACCCCCACCCCTGGATTCATTTGGGGTGGGTGTGGGCCCAGGAATCTGCATTTTAATGGATTATCATTCTGATGCAGGTGGTCCTCAATTGTATCTTGAGAAATGATGATTTAATGGAAACACTGAATTATACCATGATAATAAGCTGGTCATGTAAGCCAGGTCACATATTGACAGTTATTCCCAAATGGTAGATAATAGATAAAACACCTGGCTTTGTAGGTAAGGTTGGTTAAATTAGTTATTCTAAGATGGAACAAATGGTACTTAAATGAAAAATTTTTAAATGCCCTATATAAACACAAATACATACAGGCATTCTGATACACACTCACACACAAACACAGCTTTGTATGCCATTCTGCAGACTGGTGCTCAGTGCCCACTGTTGCATTGCTGTGGCACATTTAAATGTGGAAATGATTAATCCCACTTAAAACAACTTCCTCAATGGCTTTTGAGTGTGGTGCACTGAGATCTTTTTAAGATGGGAGCTCTCTGGTGGCTTAGTGCCTAAAGCATTTGACTGTTAACCAGAAGGCTGGTGGTTCAAATCCACCAGCCACTACTTGGAAAGAAGATTAGGCAATGTACTTCTATAGAGATACCACCTGAGAAACCCAAGGAGGGATCAACTCAATGGTAGTGAGTTTGGTTTTTAATTTCATAAACTGTCATTTCCAGATACATAAAGTCGATTGAGGGTTTTTTTTGTTTTGTTTTGTTTTAAACCAGTTTTTACTTACAGTTCTTTGGGTGTATTGACCATTTAGAAAAAATGTCTTGGTGTTTACTATCAGAACTTCTGTAGAATTGCCTTTCAAAGGCATCACTATTTGACTGTTGTGTAGGTTAGTTCTTATTTTCAGGTGGAGTGATAGCTGAGAACTCAACAAATAAGTAGAAACTAAGAAAGATGCACATCTTCATAATTTAAGTGCACAAGAACAAGAGATGGTTTTGGAACCTTTTCTAATTTCTTCTTCATCTATGGCTGTTATGGTGGTTGCTACAAATATCTGTCTTTAGGGTTTTCACTTAATGGCACCTCTGATGAAAGTATGAATTGACTGGTTTATCTTTTTATAAGCATTGGTACAGAGTTCAGTTATACAAATGAGTTTCATGATTGGTATAGGGTGGTCTGCTTTCATAAAGAGTTAGAGCCTTGTAACTCTAGTCAACGCAATGGCAGTGAGTTTGGTTTTGGTTTTTTGAATATTCAGCATTGTACTGGGGATTCTAGCTACTCACATAAGACTTAATTATCTACGTAGAAGATTCCAATAAATGTACCAAACTAATAAGTGAATTTAGTAGGGTCTTGGGCTGTAAGACCAATATACAAAAAAATCAATCATTCTTGTTACCACAGTTTCACTATATTGTTAGTAATTATTTCATAAAATTCCTAGGAACAAATATGATGGGTGACTTTCAGTCTTATTCAAACGAAACCTTTTCCTTGGGGAGGGGGGAAGAAATTTAAAAACAGTACTATTTACAAAAGCATCAAAAAACGTGAAATATTCTTAGCCACAGCTAGCTATCCAGAGGGAGTGAATAGTTGGACCTGTGGGCTCAGGACCATGATTGCAGGGTACACCGAGCTCAATTGGCATAATATATACTACACAAAAACATTGCTACACCTCCTACTTTGGTGAGTAGCGATTGGGATCTTAAAAGCTTATAAGCGGCCATCTTGATACAATGTTGTGTCTGTCCTTGTCCAGAGCAAAGAAAAATGAAGAAAACCAAAGATGCGTGGAAATTAGTCCAAGCAGCTGGTATACCACGTGATCCTCAGCCCATACAACTATAAGACCAGAAGAACTAGATAGTGCCCAGCTACCACTGTCAACCACTCGGAGGGGGATCTATGTGGGAGGAGATCATGGACAGAGTAGGAGAACAATGTGGAACAAAATTCAAAATCATTAAAAAAAAAAAAGGACCAGGTTTGCTGTTCTGATAGCACCTGATGGAATCACTGAGATTGTGGCCCCTAGCTGCCTTTCAAGTCTGGAATTGAACCCACTCCTGTGGCTTCTAGCCAAACAAAAGACAGGCATATAAGTTGAACATATACATTAGGTAGATACATTCCTTGGAGAGATCAATCATGGGAGAAAGAAGGGCTGTGTATGCACAGAGAGATAGCTCAGGGGGCAATAGTGCATGGAGGGAAGGACACAGGGAAGAGGTAACTATGGGGAAGAAGTGGGAGGGGAGCTGTTACATTGTGGTAAATTGTAGTCAATGTCATGACACAAAGTGTATGTGAGCTGCTGTATGGAAAGTGAATTTGCTCTGTAAACTTTCACCCAAATCACAATAAAAAAAAAAATTTATAAAAGTGAAATATTTAGGTATAAATCTGTATCTATCTCAGTGCTAAAACACTGATGAAAGAAAACAAAGAAGACTTAAATACATGGCTTGAAGCCTTAATATTGTTAACAGGTCAATTTTCCCTAAATTGATTTATAGATTCAGAGCACTCCCAATGAAAATCTCACCTAGAATTTTTGTAGACATTGGCAAACTGATTCTAAATTTACATGAAAAAAAAACAAAGGAACCAGAATAGCCAAAGCCACTTTGCAAAAGTTAATACTCACCCTACTTGATTTCGATATTACTCTAAAGCAGTGGTTCTCAACAGGCTGAAATTTGGCTCCCCTCCCTGCTCCCTCAGGGACATTTGGCAATGTGTGCAAATATTTTTATTATCACTACCTGAGAGGGGAGAGGGGGTTGCTTCTGGCATATAATTGCTAAATATTGCTAAATATTCTGCAGTGCACAGGAAAACCCACATAACAAAGAAATGCCCTGCCTAAAATATCAATAGTCAATGTGGAGAAACTGTGCTTTAAAGCTACAGTAGTAATCAAGACAGTATGGTATGTTGCTACTAGGATAGACACATCAATCAGTGGGACAGAACAGAAAGGCCAGCAGTAACCCATACATTTATTCTCAATTGATTTTTTGACAGGTTCAAAGGATAGTCCTTCATCAAATGGTGCTAGAACAATTAGACATCTATATGCAAAAAAAAGAGGAAAAACATTTTGGCCCATACATCACACCATATTAAAAAATAACTCAGAATGGATCATAGAGCTAAATGTAAAACCATAAAACTTCTAGAAGAAAACACAGGAAAAATCTTTGTGAATTTGTTTGGATAAATATTTCTTTGCTGTTAATACACAAAGCACAATCCACAAAGTAAAAATTGATAATTTGGACTTCATCAAAATTAAAAACTTCTGCTTATCAAAAGACATTGTTAAGAAAATCCAGAGACTGACTATAATTTGGGAGGAAATTTTGGCAAAATACATATATATGATAAAGAACGTTTAATATATATAAAGAACTCTCAAGACCTAATAAGAAAATAAACAATCAAGTAGAGATATGAGCAAAAGATTTGAACAGATATTTTACTAAAGGTATACAGATGACATGTAAAGATGTGAAAATGTAGTGAACATCATTAGTGAAACCCCACTCCAAAGAGCTTAAACAGTAAAGGTTGAATATTGAGTCACATTAAAAACCAAAAAACCAAACTCACGGCCATCAAGTTGATTCTGACTCATGGCGACCCCCTCCAGGTTTCTGAGGTGGTAAATCTTTACAGAAGTAGATTGCCCCATCTTCCTTCCTGAGAGTGGCTGGTGGATTTGAACCACCAAACTCCTGCTTAGCAGTCAAATGCCTCAGACACTGTACCACCAGAGTTCCATTGACTCACATTAAGAAATTCCACAAAGAGAATAACGTCAATGGTGGTGAGTCCAAATGATTAAAAAGTTATCAGTGACACACTTTTTCTTTTTTGGGGGGGAGATGGGAGGATGTCTTCTCCCCCCTTCTCCTTTATGAGAACGTTTTTACTGGTATATATTTCTACTGGGAATGAGCCTTTTAGGGATGAAGGATGAATGTAGATGGTTTGTATTGAACTTGTAAATTGCTTTTTTTTTAAAAAAAAAAAAAAAAAAAAAGGCACTCTGAGATGGGTGCCAGCTCCAGTCAAAGCTGCATGCTATCTATTATGTCCTGTCTGGTACAAGCACTGTGTCCACACATTCCAAGCTGAGGTCCTAAAATTCACCAATTGGCCAGTGTAGGTCACATGCCCACCCATGATGAAGCAGTGACTGGTCAAGAGATAGGATTATTAATTTAAATCTGAGCCATATGTGTTAACTCTTGAGCCATAGATAGTGTTAGCGTCCTTCAAAGTTTAAGGATTCTATACTGGCAGGAAAGGAGGAGAGGATGTTGGTGAGGCAGCACAGTGCCTCCTCCATCACTAAATTACTGTGAATTATTTACTTAGGATTGACATCATATGCTTAGTGACCATGTCGCAGCATTGCCATTGTTCCTCAAAAAGGATTTTTTTTTTTCTAAATTACCTTTATAAAAGAAAACTGAACAGTTTTCTGTTCAGCCTGAGTGAAGCTATGAATGTCAGGTTTTTCCCATACAAGTCACTGTTACACAGTCATTGTAATGTGGCCTTTTTTCATTTTTGCTTATAAACATGACTGAAAAAATGGCTCCTTAGAAAAGAACATAATGGTTAACTGTTAAAAGTGTGGAAGTTAGTATTTTAAATTGCTGTGTATTTCGAAGTCTTCTGTATATTATTTCCTTCCCAGCCTTCTTACTAGTTACCCATTATGAAAGGAAATGCACTGTTGTGTCCCCCACCCTCCTAACACTCTTTTCTGACTGGGGCCCTTGCTCTGTGATTAGGACGTGCTGATGGAGCTCCTAGAGCAGTGTGCAGATGGACTGTGGAAGGCTGAGCGCTATGAGCTGATTGCTGACATCTATAAACTCATCATCCCCATTTACGAGAAGCGGAGGGATTTTGAGGTACCTGAGTGATTTGTTTTCTTCCCCTAGTTGAGAGGACAGTGGAGAGACATTTACTTGCAGACCTACTTACATGCAAAAAGAGCAAGGAGGCCATGGTGTAGTGGTGAGCAGGTGGTCTTTGTCCATCCACATTGCACTGGAGTTGATCACCAGTCCCCACCCTCAAAGCGTCACCAGGCCATCATACAAACATGGCTCTACTTCTACACATTGCAAACAAGGGTTACCACCTTGGCACTCCACTTTTTAACGGTTCCACGGAACAGAGCTTTGTAATCACCAGGTGTCCATTTCCTCAGATCTCTTCCATGCGTCACTGGTCTGGGAAAAGAAAACAGTGTCCCTTCCATTCTTCCTGGACTGGGGAGGTAGTCCAAACCTCTTAGAAGTCAAGTGGAGTCATAGGAAAGCAAAGCCTAAAAATGTCATCATAGAACTTCTCCATCTCTAACAATTCATGTTAACTTGAAGACAGAATTTGCTTACTATAATGTGGAAAATCTTACCTCCTAAAAATCCAAGGTTCCCAGGTTATCATATGCAGGCTAGACCTTTGAATAGGAAGGATTATAATTCAACAATATCACTGCAACTTGTATACCAACACTCATTGCAGCAATATTCCCAATAGCCAAAGGTGGAAACAGCCTAAATATGTCCATCAATAAGACAAGTAGATGAATGTGGTGTATATATATAAACAATACAATATTACTCAGTCACAAAGAGACATGAAGTCCTGACACATGCTATAATGTAGATGAACCTTGAAAACATTGTGCTAAGTGAAATAAGACAGTCACAAATATTGCATGATACCACTTGAATATCTAGAATAGGTGAGTGTATAAAGACTAAAGTTTATTAGTGGTTACCAGGTGTTTTGGTTACCTACTACTGCTCTGACAAGAATATATACCACAAATGAGATGGCCTTAACAAACAGGAGTTTATTCTCTTACAGTTCGGAAAGTTAGAAGTCCAAGTTCCAAGTGCCAGGCTCTAGGCACTGGGTGAAAGCCCTTCGACTTTGGGCTTCAGCTGTGCCTCTTGTTCCCGGCTCACTGAAGCTAGAGGCATTTCTTAACTCAGGCAGCTTCTGGCTGCTGAGGCTAACAAGCTCAAGGTTGACAAATAAAATGGCACAGTCCTGATGTTACCAAACCACATGGCAGGTCATTAATTCAAGTCTATAGAAAGTCCCAAGGTTAGCAGAGCATAGCAGGCTGCTGAACAACAACATGGCTACAGGCAGGGTTCAAGCATGCCACAAGCTAGAGACCATTCCCAAAGCTGTTTCTTATATACAGGAAGCAGACCACATACCCAAAGGCAGCTACTCAGCTACTCCCAGAAGATCCCACCATGGAGTTGATTACCAGTCTCATCATGGGGAATACTACATCCAGGTGCCCAGCCACTCAACCAGGCCCAGCCAAGTTGACACACAAACTTAACCACCATACCAGGGCTGGATGGGTGGAAATAAGAAAGGGGGACTCGCTGCTTTGGGCACACTGAGATGTTCTGTTAAGGGTGATGGAAAAATTTTGGAAGCATAGTGATGATGGTTGAATGACATGATGAACGCAATGTCACTGAATTGTATATGTAAAAAATGTTGAAATAGCAAATGTTTTGTTACACATATATTTGCCACAATTAAAAAAATCTATAAATTATGCAGTAAAAAAAAAAAAATAGTTTTAGACAGGCCTATACAGTGAACAGTAACACTAGAGAGGTACGTACCATTAGAACAGTCAATCATATGAAATCAAAAAAGCAGCTTTTGCGTAGGGACAAAGCTCAGAAGGCAGGGAGGGATAGGAAAGAAGGATGAATGGACACGAGAAATGGAGGAAGTAGGAAGAATGCTGCTACACTGTGGGGACTGCAATCAATGTCACAAAACAGTGTATGAATTGTTGAATGGAAAACTAATTCGTTCTAGAAACTTTCAGATCACAATAAAAATTTATATATATATAAATATATTGTTGATGTTTCACTCAAATCTAAGGAATTTTTACCTATCTCATCATGTATAACTGTTATTTAAAAATTGATTGTACTTTTTTACAAGTGGAAAGACATGAGTATTCTTACTTCCAGAGGCTGGCCCATCTGTATGACACACTGCACCGGGCCTACAGCAAGGTGACTGAGGTCATGCATTCAGGCCGCAGGCTCCTGGGCACCTACTTCCGAGTGGCCTTCTTTGGGCAGGTGAGCCCTGCCTCTCCTTTTTGTAGGCTGACATGTCTTTTTTTTTTTTTTTTTTTAACTCTATAAGGTTAGATTTTGTAAATTTTTTGTTTTAACCTCTATAAATGCTAATTTGATGAATTTGTCATATTTAGTATGATTCTTACCTTCCTCAGTAAACTTTCTGCTTTTTTTTTTTTCTTTCTTCCTGTTTTTTCTTTATTACTTTCTTAAGGCAGCGGTAAGTTCTCCCTCCATAAGACATTCTTTGCGGCATCTTTGGTACTTCAGTGTGGTTTGCAAGTTTCCTTTACAAGTCTGTATGTATACTGTCTAGTCATTAAACACTCAAAAAAACTTAACATTTTATTCCATTTACAGAAATAAATCACCCATTTCCTTACACGTCTGTGCTGCATGTTTTAAACCAAAATTAAGACTTCCTGGTTTCCTTTGTGCCTGTGCGTCTTTATCTTTTGTAATATAATATCTCCACAAGTACATTTACCATTGTAATAGTTCAGCAGCCCTATACGAAAGATTCATTTAACTTAAATTTTAACCTTCAAATCTCTAACATTATTAAATGATATAAATGATAATACATTTATTTAGGGTGTGTGGTTTTTTATGAGCACTATATAACTTCAATTTATTCTGTTATTGTCTTCTATAACTTTATAGCAATACCAGTTTACAGACAGTGAAACAGATGTGGAGGTAATTACAGGAAATGCTTAAAAAGCAAGTAATGTAGTGAAATTACTGCATCTAAACTCCTAGTTTGATGTGGGTGTTTTTTGTTTCATGTTAGCTTGCTTTTTGTTGTTGTTGTTTATCCACTGTTTTTTTTTTTTTTCACCATTTCTCTTATTTTCGATGAGAAATTTTTTAAAAATTTTATTTCAAATATTAACCCTGATTTGGACTTTTTAACTTTCAACCTTTTTCACTTCCCATGTAATTGTAAGCCTTGTTGTGTTCAAACAAGGCTGGTGCTAAAACAGAGGGTGACTGGTGGCAGTGAAAACATTTTCTGATAGTGTATTACAGGCTTGAATATTTTTCTTGTTAGTAAAGCAGACAGAAGTTCACGTAACTTCATCTAACTTCTGCTCAAAGTTCTCCAGACCTGAATGCTTCAGATTTTATACCCTAAACATCATTTGTAAATGGGAGCGTTGCTGAGACCCGCCTCCAGCATGCTACTGAACATTTTTGTTGAGTTCTGCTTCTTGGGAATGTGAAACAGGCTGAATTCCATCATTAGACTTGACTGAGAGAACACAGCCTTGAATCCCAAATCTTTCATTTCACTCAACACTTAATGACAGTATTGTGGAATAAATTTGACATTTTGTGTTCTTTCTTTATCTTTGCACCCAGACTTCACATTATTATCATTTTCCTTCCCATCAGGAAAGCCTGTGTTTACATAGGATTTTATTTGAAAAATCATTCTTGTTTGTTTGTTTTAACTCTTATAACAAAAGAACCTTTCCTGGGTGGTAAGCTTTGGGCTTAGATAGCTCTAATTATGTTTTACGTCACAGGGATTCTTTGAAGATGAAGATGGAAAGGAGTATATTTACAAAGAACCCAAGCTCACACCTCTATCAGAAATTTCTCAAAGACTCCTTAAACTTTACTCTGATAAATTTGGTTCTGAAAATGTCAAAATGATTCAGGATTCTGGCAAGGTATGACCATGTTTAGATAAGTTCTGTAACAATGTAATTTTCTTTTATTATTTGTGATTTGTCATATATTATCTATTTATAAATGTGTATGGGGAAAAAAAAGACTTGGGCAAAAATGAAGTGTGGCCTTTGGTGACAGGATTATCTTTTCTTCTTAATACCTGTTCTGGTTACCTGGTGCTGCTCTGACAGGAATATACCACAAATGGAAGAGCTTGAACAAACAGGAGTTTAGTCTCTTAAAATTTTGGAGGTTTTAAGTCTGAGTTCAAAGTGCCAGGCTCTAGAGGCTGAGTGAAAGCCCCTCAACCTTGGATTTCAGCTCTGCCTCCTGCTCCTGGCCCACTGAAGCTGGAGGCTTTTCTTCACTCAAACGGCTGCTGGCTGCTGAAGCCGACAAGCCCAAGGTTGACAAGTAAAAAGGCACAGTCTCATCGTTATCAAACAGCACAACAGGGCACTAATTCAAGTCCAGAAGTCCCAAGATTGGCAGGGCATGCCAGGCTGTTGAACAACTTGGCTAAGTGGCAGGGTTCAAGCGTGCCAAAGGCTAGAGACCAATCCTAAACTACTTCTTATGTACAGGAAGCAGACACATCCCTAAAGCAGCTACTCATGGCAGATTCCACCATGGGGTTGATTGCCAGTCTCATTTTGGGGACTAACTACCTCCAGCTGCCCAGCCCCTCAACCAGACCCAGCCAACTTGACAACAACTTTAACTACCACAACACCTTTCTGTATTCCCCAGATGTCCTTCATTAAGCAAATCTTTATTTTATAATTATTAAAAGAGATTATTTTACAAAATAATTAATGTCTGAAAGCAGATACCATTTTGAGTCCAGATATTTGAGAACACTGCAAGAGTAGGAGCTCTGGTGGGATAGTACCTAAGGCAGTTGACTGCTAACGAGACGGCTAGCAGTTCAAACCCAGCAGCCACTTCTTAGAAGACTGGGCTATCTACTTCCACATAGATAGTTCCTCGGAAACCCAAGGAGCGGTTGCTATGAGTTGAATTGACTTGATGGTAGTGAGTTTGGGTTTTTTGGGGTTTGGTAAGAGTAGGATCCAAGATGGCCTTCTCATTCCCCTTGACTAAACCTTAGACTTCTTCCTAACTGTAGGCCCCCTGACCTTCCTCTCTCCCTCTTACATTATCCAGAGGCCAAAATAGGGAGTTTCTTATCTCCCTTTCCCTCTCTCCTACCTTTACAGGGTCCAGGTGGCCTGTTCATAACAGAAGAAAGCATTCCAAGTTATATAGCCCTAATTGCAAACTCAGCCAATCACTCTCCCATCCTCCTAGTGAACCCCTTACATCCACTGTCACTTTTCCACTGCCCAGCCCAACCTTTAAAACCCTGCTGCCCTTTGTTTCAGCAGAGTTGAGTTCACAGTTAGTTCTAGTCTCTTTCCTATGGCAATAGCATTTGAATAAAGTTGTCATTACTTGTTTAAAATTGTCCTCTATACTTTTCTTTGACAGTTCTCTTACTTACTGAATGCTTACCCTGTACTTAGCACAGTGCCTGGCACTCTGTATGACTGGTTGTATGTTGGATGTAAGGACAGGCAGATGGACAGACCAATGAATGAACTAATAAGCTAGCACGTTTGTGGGAATGAGATCATCTTTATATTTTGAGAGGCTGTCCTCTGGTATAGTGCTCTGTGAAATCCCTTTCTGAGCCTCTACATTTTTCCTGTACATTTATGTGGCCCACTTTCTTCAGGATCTCTCCAAGAAGTTGGGTGGCCCATTACTACTTGAAACTTGGGTAAAGATAGAACACCTGTTCTCTGTAGTAAGAATGCTCCTATTGCCCAGCCTTCTGCCAGTGATAGACATCCTGCCTCTTTCTCAAGTATACAATTTTAGAGTGATCCTTCATGGTTCCTTTTCTCTCCTGAGTCTTCCTTTGGGATCCGCAGCGTCTGGAAGATCTTTCCTAGGGCTCTTCATTTTCTCTAGAGGAGAAACCTTCAGCATTCTATCCAAGTGCATAGGGAGCTAGGGAAGGGACCTGGAAGGGGGCCAAGCATCTGACTGCTGAATTCTGGATGAGAGAAGGGCTGATGGTCATGTCCAGACTCATACTTAATCACCTTGTATCTGCTTCATTCCTGGCCCCTGCTTTCTAATGAGACTTCTGAACCCATGTAAAGCTTATCCAGACCAGTTTCTCTAGAGTCAGCTTATGTTCTCTTATGGCATAGAGACTAGGAGAGGGAATCTGGAGTTCCACCACTCCAGATGAGGACTTTCAGCCACCCATCCTGCTTTCAGCCCCACACTTCACCCCTTCACCCTTGTCTTAGAAAACAAAAGGGGAAAAAAAAAAAAAATCATTGAGTCAATTCCAACTCATAGTAACCCTTATCTTTGGAACTGCAAATGGTGGTCGTCCCAGGCTTCTAAGGGGTGAACCAGCTCTCTGTGAGCACATGGCTTATAACTTTCTCCATGCTGTCACATCAGGTAGCCCCTCTGTCTTCCAAAAATTCATTGAAATCTCTCATTCACTTTTGTTTCCTTGTTCTCTTCTGGGCCCTTGTTAATTCTTTAATGTCATTTTAACAGAGTTGGACAAGGGAAGAGGGGTTATAAGCACATGTTCGTGCATTTTTAAGTGGACACCTCAACACAACCTTATCACAGATGTAAAATATAATATATTCTTAATAATAGTTATATATTATAATATGTATATTATGTTTATATTATAATATCTTATAATAATAATATATTATTATTATAAGATGTAAGACCTGCTTACATCTTAGACCACATTACCCAAGTCCAGTTTGTCTTTTTAGCTCTGAAACGGAAACCTCTGTCTGGGTCAAGTTGTGACTTGAGCGTTAACAGCCATTTCTCAAGGTTCTCATGTATTCTGCTCTTGAGACAGCAGTTAAGACTATGAGCCTGACTTTCTCTTTCTCCCAAGTATAGGTCCTCCTTTCTTTCTAATCATACATACAACTTTGAAAATGATTTGAAAAACAGGCAATAACGTTTCATTTCACTTTGTTTCCGCTAAAAAAATTTAAGTTACAATGGTTGGATGGATGGCCTTTTATAAAAACAGAAATAAAAAGGTCATTTATTTTCTCATATTCTAAAGTGTAAGGAACTTTCACATCTATTTTTTGTTTTTCAGACATTAGTGTGCATAATACTTTTAGACACCAATAAAACCATGTGTTTTCATTCATTTGCCTGCCTTTAAAATACCAATATAGTCTTCAGCATTCTCTGCAGAGCCATTTCTTCCAAGTCTCTTTTTATTGCTCTCAAAAGTTAAATAAAATTTAAAATGTGAAAAATTAGTTTGCCCTCCTAATAAATTAATTAGCTTTTGTTTCTATATGAAAAAAAAATGACTGTTTAATTTTCCATCATGAAATGTAGTTTAGAAGCATTTCTGTGTTGAGTTAATCAGGAAGTAAACTTACAGTCTCTTAATCTGTACCTGTATTAGATTATTTAATCCATGTTGTTGTTGTTGTTGTTTGCCATCGAGTCGGCCCCAACTCATAGCGACCCCTCCTTGGGTTTCCGAGGCAGTATCACTAAGGAAGTAGGAATGCCCAACCTTCCTTCCGAGGAGTAGCTGGTCGGTTTGAACCGCCAGCCTTCTGGTTAGCAGTCAAGTGCCTTAGCCACTATGCAACCAGAGCTCCCATTTAATCCATAGCTGTATGAATTATAATTGGGGAATCTAATTTTTCAAATATTATTAAAAAATTAAGTTTCCCCTCTTAATGAAATATATAAAAATATTGGAAACCACCAGAGAAATCCAGAAATAAGAAAATTAGTCTATTTTCTTCAAAGAGATCGATGTCATGGAAAAAAACAAAAGTGGAGAATACCTCTAGATTAAGCAAAACTAGAGATACATGGCAAGTAAATGAAAAGTGTGATCACTGATTAGATTCTGGCTTAAACACAAACAGCTGTAAGTGACACTTGGGGACATTTGAGAAATCACTCATGTAGGCTGAGTATTGGGTGGTATTAGAGAATTATTGCTAACTTGTTACGTACGGTAATGATATTGTTTTTAGGATATGCCGGCTGAAAGTCATGATATGAAATAGTTCAGCATATAGGTGTATAGGTATACTTACATAAATAAACACGTGTATTTTAAACAAGTATAGCAAAATACTAGCAATTATTGAGTCTAAAGTGGTAGTTATATGAATACTATTTTTTCAATTTTTGAATTTTTCAAAAAACAAAAAACACGTTGATTAGGAAAAACTTAAAAACACAGCTTATGCAGGTTTGAATGATTTCTTTAAATAGCACCAATCTTCAATTTTGCTCATTTCTTTGAAGGTCAACCCTAAGGATCTGGATTCCAAGTACGCATATATCCAAGTGACTCACGTGATCCCATTCTTTGATGAAAAAGAATTGCAAGAGAGGAAAACGGACTTTGAGAGATCCCATAACATCCGGCGCTTCATGTTCGAGATGCCCTTCACGCAGACGGGAAAGAGGCAGGGTGGGGTGGAGGAGCAGTGCAAGCGGCGCACAGTCCTCACAGGTACGCCCCGGGGCTCCTCCTAGGGGCTCCGCCGGTCCCGGTCCCTGCTTTTACATCATCGTCCACGGGACATGATAGAGTTCTCTGTAAGGAATGAATAAGCTTCTATGTGAAAGGGGCCTCAGAGTTCACTTAGCTTCCCCCACCTACCCATTTTCAGTTCACATTTATCAAGTGTTTAACTTCTAATACTGTTCGTTTGTTTGTTAACCGCTTAACTTGTTTATAAAGTTTTCTTCCACTAGACTCTTAAGTTCATATCCTATAAGTAAAGTGACTTCCCCTTTTTGGACTCAGGTGAAAACAGTGCACTCTCATCTCCCCAGAAAGCTCTTTGCACACAATTTGATTTACAGACCACTTTTGAAATCCATATGGACCCTCTATAGAGTTTGGCTGCCAGGTGAAGAACCCCTACACACAACCCTATGCAGAAAAAAAGAGACCTGCCTCACAGTTCTGTATCCTGCAGGGCTCTTCCATGAGCCTGTTGGGTGATTTTAGGGTGAGTAAGTGGCACGTGAAGCTGGCTCTCTCCCACCTCATTGCTGATTGTGGCTGGCCAAACTCAGCTTGAATTCCTCCAGTGCCAGGACAGGAAGTTCACTACATTCAGAGGTTGGCAGTTCAGTTTTGAAGGGTTTTAACTGGTCTGTTTATCACTGTTTAGTGATGGGTGATCAATTCCGAGAAGTGTGTTTTCCATCATTTTCCAGTTCCTTACAAGTATAGAATCTTTTGAGAGTGATGCTTGCCTTCTTGAAGGAGCCTGACCCATCCACTCTTAGGTCAGGGTCAGCAGTGTATCCTGGGGTAAGCTAAAATCAATCACTTCTGGACTTGAGAAAAATAGGTAGAGAAAGCACTGTCAGTATCCACCACTGTCATAATTTTCAAAGAGTGGCCTTAGCAGGGAAGCTCCCACTACTGCACTAGAAGTCTAGTCAAAGTAAGTGAGAGGAAGACTGTCAAGATTCTGGCTTTCAGGGAAGACTCAGCTCTCACCATTGAATTCACTTGAAGTGAGTGAATTACATCTCAATAAAGCTGTTAGCAAAAACTAATTAATTTAAATATGCGTGTGTATACACACACACACACACACACACCCC